CTTTCTAATACTGGATTTTCATAAAATGATGAGGTACCACTACTTAAAAGTAAACATTCTGAAAATAAAAAAGCCAAGAGACTAAGAGGAAGACCTAGCATAGACACTACCTTTTTACCTGTTCCAAATCAATGAGTCCTTCAAAAACCCTTTTTGTAGTTTAGAAAACAACAAACCAGGTTCTTTGGCATTTCAAAACCTAAGCACTTTCAGCTCAGATGGATGGAACAGAACAGAGAGAGAAAATGAAGTTGAGCTGTTTCACTTAGCTGTAAAAGTTCTCTCTTCAATGAAAGGAAGAGAAAAAGTTTGAGAGCAGATGTAGGCACTTTGCAACCCTGTACAAAATTTTTAAAGTCAGTATTATTTAGACTGGTAATCTAAGATGGGATCGTTTCAATGCTACTTACTCCAAAGAAAAGCTGAGGGTCACCTATACAGAACTCACTGCAAAAATGAAGAACACCTTCAGCCATTCTTTCTGTACCGTAACAACATATTAGCCAGAGATATAACCCAAAAGACTAAACCAAACTGTTACATACCACAAAACATTTAAGACAGAACATTTAATTTTTAAGATAATTTTTAAGAAATGTGAATGATATAGAGCATTATCCCATAACAACAGTAATCTAGATTAGACAAATGATAGCAATGATAGAATTGATTTGTTAAGACTGTATTACATAAGGATAAGAAGTTCTTCAACTTGTGCATATACTAAAGGAAAATCAGTAAAAATAATTTACCAAGGTCTTTCTATAAGCTGTAAGCTAGAATCTAGAAAAAGTGTTTTCTCCATCCCCATACAGAGCTTTGACTTCCAAACTTTGTTTGACATAAAACATACGTTCAAGACACACTACAGAAAATAAGAATCTAGATGAGGCTGGCTGTATTCATGCAACAGAAAGCACCAAGAAGAAGCAATCTACACTTCATTTTGCCAACATCGCTATGTCAGCAAAAAATATGAAAAAAGTGGCAACTCTCCGATGTATTTCAACTCTACTAGTAAAATCCTAAACTACATTATATTAAGAAAAAGCCCACTTGTCCCTAGAGCCACAGACAATGCTCATTTGCAAAATGCACAGGCAAGTCAATAGTTTTCAAAAAATCCACTTCATTCAAACCTAGTTGTTCACACCCATAATACTTGTGATCTACTAATAAAGTCCTGCTTACTCTCTAGTGCATATTTAAACTATTTCATAAAAGGCATTTGACTTTCTATAAGAGACTTGCTATTGGTGCCTAGATTATACAATTTATCTTGTGGGGGGCGGGGGGAAAGAAGATAATCAAGTTTCCACTTTCCAAGTGGAACATGTTTTTAGGTACATCAATGGCATTATTAAATAGCGGTCAAACTTATCTATGCCATGGGCTTTTAGTAACATTCAGTCAGACTAATCAGAAGACTTCAGTCAACTGCAGTCTATAACTGCATGATTCCAGCTTCTTTACCACCTCTTCCAGAAGTCCCTGATACCTATGAAGTACTTAGTTCACTCACTCAGATTTAAAAATAATTCTGTAAGCCAATTACTGAAGCAATAAAGATGTGAAAATAAAAAATTGTTTTCAGTTGCATTCACTCACTATTCCATGTCTATTTTTAGACTCCATCTCGACTTGGAAATGAAGCGATGAGTAACAGCAATTCCTTTTCCACTAACTTGCCATTGCTTAGCAGCAACAGTACATCCTGCACTTAAATGAGAAATACTGCCTCCCTCTTCCCTTCCTCCCAGAAAAATCGCTATTAACTATTAAAGAAAACAGAGAACATGGAAGGTTTTTACCCTCTTCATTTCTCTTTTCTTTCCTCACTTCAATCGTTTTAAATAGCATCTAAGCATGGCTTTGTGAAAGAAGCATGGCAAAAATACATTTGTTCTTAGTGAAAAAATTTCAGCAATTACAATTCTTGTGATCACCCTAATCTGGCCATCCTGCTTTATTTATATGCAGATGAATATTGAAAGTAATGAGAATATCATGTCAAAGACCAGCACTCTAGTTTCCCCGCTTCCCTTTAAGTTATTCCCTTTAATTTATTATGCAGAAATAAAGCATAATGAGTTTGAAATAGAAAGTGTTAAAAGGACAAAAAAAATGCAATCACTTTCAAAGGATTTACTGTTGTTTCAGGTAATACATATTTCTCCTGAGATGCCTTGCCGATTAGTTTCTACAACCACATTTTCCACTTTTTTTTAAAAGCACTTTCTTTCCTTGATGCTCTACGAAAGCAACGGCAAAGCTTACTGACCAAACAGTTGAAAGCTGTATAAACATGCTGTCAAATACAGAAATGCAAAAATACAAAAAAAAGTTTCCATACAGAAGTGTCATGACTTATAAGAAAGGCTAAAAAATCACATGTATGCAATTTGACTATAACAGAGGTAAAGCATTAGGCTATTGATCAGATATGAAACAGCAAAAGTTGATTACAAAATCTAGTATTTAAAGTATTTAACAGAAAGGCTATTTTAAAAATCCCACATTTTCCACCAGTCCAGGATACCCTTTCTATAAAATGTTTAGCTTAAGAGAACAAGGCAGACTCACCAGTACAATGGATCGATCTATATTTAACAGCAGTCATATTTCTAAGACAATCGTTTAACGAAAAGGTCCTGTCAGCATATTTAACTCTTGAATGACCACGTGAGGACGTTGCATTACGTGAAACGACCTTAGAATTACACTGTTACTCGAATGGGGCTCTTAACTTCCCATCGCCTCTCTCTTCCTTTCCCACATGCTTGAATATTCCGGTGTTGGCAGATCGCTGCCGAGGCGGGCGCGGGTTTCCCACGGGCCCCCGCCGACCTGCCAGCGCTCCCAGCGCCCCGCAGCCTTGCGCAACATCCGCAGCCTCCTCCCCGCAGCTCAGACAATCCCTGATGCGGCACTTCACATCCAGATTTTTTTTTTTTTTGTTCCCAGACCATTATCAAAGGCTGAGAGCTCAAAAGGCTAACGGCGTGCTTTTATCCCAAACATCGCCAGATAACCACGAGAGCTACCAAGATACGCAGAGCCTGCCATCCTTTAGCTCTTCTGCGGGTCAAATTGTATTTTCATATCAAGTGTTTAAACAATACTGAAAAGTGTCAGCGGCATCTGCCCAATCAGAGTTATTGTCCCCGGCTTATATCTTCTATTCAAAAGATAAACCACCTCAGACATTTTAGCAGCCCGACTAAGCAGCTAAAATAAAACCAGGAAAAAGACCTAATTCTCCATTTAAATTCCTCCCCCTCCCCGCCCAAGCGCACACGTTAACCAAAGGCCGACGGTGAACTGCTCTGGAGGGAAGAAAGGACGAGGGATACAGCCGGGGCTGCGATGGGGGGATGGGGACCAACGGGAAGATGCGTATTCCTCCGAGGAATATTTAATACACTTAACACCTCTCCGCGGAAAGGAAAAGAGCGTCAAGCAGGCAGCTGCAGAGACGAATAAAGGGGGGAAAGAAACGCCCGCTTAGCCCCAGCTGACACGGTACCAGGCAA